CACCAAAACAGAGAAAGAGACCGTTCGAACACATTGGTTAATTAGGTGAACCCATTTTTCCGAAAAACCCAATGTTCTAAGAATCTTTTCCAAAAACAACCAACCAACCCTATCATAGGCCTTATTCATGTCCAATTTAAGACCAAACAAAGTCCTCTATCCTATTTTCCGACGTCTAAAAAACTCAATGATTTCATGCACTAAAAATACATTATCTGCAATAAGACGACCCCTCACAAAAGCATTATAATGTAATGAAATCAAACTAGGCAACACCTCACACAAGCGATTGGCTAACACTTTCGCTCCAAGTTTATAAATCACATTACAAAGATTAATTGGCCTATAATCATTGACTGATAGTGGATGTTTCTTTTTAGGAATGAGGCATATAAAAGTATGATTAAATTCCTTTGAAAGAAAACCAGAGTTTAAAAAGCTAAGAACTACCTCAGTGACCTTTCCCCTCACAATCTTCCAAAACTTATGATAGAAACCAATAATGAAACCATCAGGCTCGGGAGCTTTAAGTTTTCCCATTTGAAAAAGGGTGTTAGTGATCTCAAAACCAATAAAAGGCTTATCTAGCAAAGATTTATGTGCAATAGAAAGATGGAATTTGACAGCATTCAACACATTAAAATTAACAGAATCACCAGAATGAAAACATTGGTCCAGAGTTGAGGTTGATGCAATATTAGCATTGAATAGAGTGGTAAAATGTTGGACAAACTGGTGTAGAATTTGTTCCTAATCTATGATAATAGATCCATCCTCAAGCTGTAGACAAGCAATTCTATTTCGTTGTTTCCGCCATGTTGCCATCCTATGAAAAAATTTATTATTTCGATCTCCATTAGCAAGCCATTGCTGCTTCGACCTCTAGGCCTAATATAATTCTTGTTTATTCAGCAAATCATCCAACTTACCCCTTAATTCCCAATCATATTTGACATCACCTTTCTTAAAGGAGAAAAGCAATCTCTTCACCAAGACTAAGGTAATTATGGACTCTTTCAGTTGATGTCAGTGTAATTTAGTGTAAATTTAGTAACTTTAGCCTTTCATTACATCTTAGCAGAGTGAAAAATGCTTAATAAATCCAATTAAATTTATGTGTGTTTTAAAAGCAAGGACCGTTGATCTCCATTGAGTATGAAATATCATCTAATTGGTTGGTAACTATGTCAAGTTGCATAATAGAATTAGCTTCATTAATTTATTTGTCTATTTTCTTCAAGGTTGAGTTAATGAATATTTTTTTCTCACTCATACTTCTGTGTTTTGTTTAATTTTCTTAATTGTTGTTGCTTATTATGAAAAGATTATTTTTAATAGGTCCGTAAGGACGCCACCCTAGTGGTTTCAAATCTGCAGAGGCAGCTGGTTTATTCACGTTTGATTGCTTCTGATTACTTGGAAGCTAACTTAGATATCATGGACCATTTAATAGATGGGTTATTTAGCAACTCCTGTGTATGTCTACGTTATTTATTGCATGTAAATTCATTACCTACTTTAATGGTTGTTTAGGTACGAGGATCCAGGCATTGCTTTACATTATGGTGGAATGTTGAGGTAGTGTATACATCATCAAAGTGTAGCAAGGTAAGCAGTTTGAAAGCATACATTGGTAATTGATTTTTTTTTTCTTCTTCTTTTTCCTTTTCCCCTATTTTTCCTTTTCTTTTTTTTCTTCTCCCCTTGTCCTTATAATCCGTCTTTTACTTAAACTATTTTGTTCTATCTTTTTGACATATCATTGTTAATTTGGTTGTACTGGCGACTCTCTTTTAGGAGAACACCAATTTTACCTATTCTGGTGTATTGTTGTTCTTGAGTTAGGTCTCACAGATTCATTCAATAAGAATTTACTAATGAAATGGAAAGGAGGCATTTCTAGTCAATTTCTGAATTTCTTGTTCCTGATGCTTTAATTCTATATCTTGTTTCTCTTTTAATCTTTATATGGTAATTTTTTTGATCTGTTTGGTTCTGTTCTCAGGGGTATGTTTTAAAATCAAAATATATGAAGAAGTTTTTTGACTATGTACAACTTCCAAATTTCGATGTTGTTACAGATGCTACAGAAACCTTTAAGGTAGTGTTTTCTGCTAGTAAACATTTACTACCTACTTAATAAATAAGTTTGCCTACAATATTAACTACACAACAAAAGAGACATTCTGTTGATTTACATGATTATAATACTTAGTAGGCACAAAATATAGAATATTATCAAACTATGAATGTCTTCAAAAGCCATGTATCTATGTGTTTGTTTATATGTGCATCAAAATTTTATTGGATGGCAAAACCGCGTAACATCAATGCTGAGCATTTTGAAAATACCATCCTCAGATTCCTTTTCAACCAACTCTCGCACCTGGTATACATCAATATCAAATAAACAATGACAAGTTCCTAATTTTAAAAGAAAAAAACAACATGCATGTGTGCACATGCACACAAGATATACCATAATAATTTCCATAACTATCATCAGCGATTTATTTATCAGATATACCATCTTGATGGAAACTTTTAGCTTCGGAGTTTTTTCTTCACATATTTTTAGTGTTTTATTTTATTTTATTTCTTTTACCTTAACTTTGTAACACACATGCTGTTACAACTATTCAGAAAACATTGGCAGAAATTGATGAGCAAGCAGAGCTTCTACCTGATGGAGCCCTTCTCGTGTACGTAGCTTTGTGGCTTAAAATATTTCTTTTTTTTTTGTTTTTTTTTTTTGTTTTGGGTTCTAAATTTGTTGGATTACAATGTGATGTTTTTATTTGTAAGTTATTACTTTAACCAGTTGAAAGCCCTTGCTCCTGCAATGGTGGTCAAGCAATTGCAGTCATTTATTTCAGAGCTGGGTATGCACCAACGGATTATCCCTCAGAATCAGTGAGTAGATTCACTTTTGCAGAATCAAGTTTTTTGTCATAAAACTAGAGCATCAGCATAACAAAAGTTTAATCTACAAACAGAATTAGTACTGCATTCTTCCGAAGCTACCAGCCAAATTACTTTCGAACTTTGCATTGAATGTTTGCTCTCACCTTTTTCTTTTCTTTTTTTTTTTTGGGGGGGGGGGTCTTTTTAATGTCTTTTTAATACCATAATTAAATTCTCATCCTCTTCTTTTACACTCTTTATTTATGTGTTTTTCCTTTCCATTTATTTGGTAAGTAAGCATTTCATTGATGCTAAATCTAGATTTTCCTATAACACTTGAATATTATCATTGGAGTCACTTAGCTCTATTGTTACATGATATATCTAAGGCTTTCATATGTGTTGTCTTTATGTAGTCAATAAGTGTTGAACAGGAAAAATGGGTTTAGGCGGCAATATGGTTTACTAGGTACAAAGGGGTTCTTAAAGAATGAACAATGAGAACCTTGCAGACATGGACAAGCTTTTCAAAGAATAGTCGAGGACTAGCTCTTGCTAGAATGGAGGCTAGTAAGAAAGATTTATTTTTTAAATGTTGTCTCTCATAATTTAAGTGGACTCCAAAAACCTGCATAAACAGAAAACAATGAGGTTTTGAGTTTGTAAGCTTACAGGCAGGATTTTCATGACGTCTTGTATTTCTCTCTTCTTTTGGATGTGATGGACAAAAAATTATAGAAGTACCCTCATTTCATGATTTATTAAATCCAAGAGGTGATGTCACTAATAGATTGTGGTTACTTTTCTTAATGGCATTGTTGTTAGGGTTGTGGTAACAGTCCACTATCTGCTTGTAAATTGCACTAATTACCTGTCTGTTGCATGTTTTAATAACATTAAAATAATTCTGTAAACTCAATATGTTGATGTTGTAATTTGATGACAAATTTTGAACTATCACAACACAATAATTTCAAGTATTTTATGCATTAATCTCTTGCACTTGATTTTAGAAAAAAATGGGACAGTGGTAGTATATATTTGTCACTTTATTGAGTGATCAGCGGTTATTTATTTTGTTTAGACATGTATTTGGAATAGAGTAGTACTAGTACAGTTCAAAATCTGCTTTGTGGAACCAGGGATTGCAAAGTTTAATGGTTCTAACTTATTTTTAGGAGTTAAGTTGGTGAATCTTTTGTACATATGCCAATCTCTATTTGACTCATGAAATTAATTAAATAGATAGCTACAACGCTACTGTGTTGATTATGAATAAAATTGATGCGAAATAGCATCATTTTTTTAAATAGATTATATGCATGCTTGTCTATGATTGTGCTAGAAGGATGATGGATATGCATACTTGCTTCTGCAGAGTTCTGAATGGGCAGGACCCCCCAAATGGCAAAGTGAAAATAGAGGGAGGACCTTGACAATGATTTTTAGTTCAAGGGTGTGTGACGATGTCGAGCTTGAAGTTGGGAACTTGATACACATTCACTCTCCATGGCATGAACAATACAATTTACTTATATCTTGTGCATGACTTTACTCATCTTGATGTAATACAAAACAAATAATGGTAGGGTTAGATATCACCATCAAGGTGTGCTTAGTAGTATCTTATGGTGTCTGTGGTACTATTTCAAGGAAACTGACATAAACACGTTTGTTGATGAATTATCAATATAGGAAGGAATTTCAAGTCGGGGGAAAAGACGAGGCCATCATTTTGTCTGCATATTTCTCCCAGATTTCATCTTGATCGATTTGGTTTTACGTCTTGGAAAGGTTTGAGATTTTGTGTTCTGTTTGAGCTGACTTTTAAGGGGTGTGATAAATGATGTATGCATATATGTGCAGAGATACGCCAAGAGGTAATGAATTTGTTCATTTTAGTCAAGGAATAGACTTGGTCACAGTTAGGGTTTTTAAGACATAAAACCAATACTGATAACCTTGACTTTTTTTCATTTAATTTAATCAAATAAAAAACACTAGCTAGAAAGATACCTGATTACAAAGATTAGGAAAAGTAACTACACCTTTTAGATTTCCCTTGTTCAAAAGTGAGGACATAATCTGGTACTTAAAAGTAAACAAAGCATAATTTTGAAACTAACATGTATATATAAATAAAGATCGAAACTATCTATATTACAGTTCAGAAGCCAACTGGATTTAGCCTGTGTAATGACTCATAACCTATAGCCTTCTTTACTGAAGATTTCTCTGCATGTATTATAAACTGCTCTGGATACTGTCAAGTGGTCAGAAAAGCAGAGTTGCATTTGCAAAGATAACTTTCAAAAACCTTAAATTCTACTACTAGATGAGCCATCGAATCATCTTGTAAGTTTATGTCATGTTTTTATTTGCTTCATATATTGTAAATCTCATCTTGTACTTATTAAAGGAAGGCAAAAATTATCCTTTGTTATCATGTGATTTGAAGATTATCCAGCTCATTGTTCAACTGGATGTTCAGGATTGTAATATTTCAATATTTGGCCTTTTGTGCCTCTTCTCCTTCAATTTCCTGTTGCAATTGAAACAACAGTATTTAATCATGTCTTCAATTGTAGGTGAGTCATGATGAACATCTGATATCTGAAAGCGTGGAATAGCTGTGGGCGGTATCTGAAGGGAAAGTGACACCTTTCGCTGGGACATTCCAAGATTACAAGAAGATACTTCAGTCCTAGGATGGCTTCCAGTGTTTTTTTGGCTGGTAAGGTAAGGATTATCCTAGAAAGTTTTGTGAGAATTAAAATGATGTGAGCAGCCCTTGCAGAAAACAAAGAGGTAGTGGAATTAGTCCCACCATTTTCGAGTCATGATACAGAAGAATATACAGCATCAGTGATGTTTTGTGGATTTACTAAATTGGGAAGATGATTATGGAAGCTTGTGGATACAATCAAAAGTTGCATATTATTATTACCTCCTTGCTGTTTTTAAAGTTGCATATCTTTCAGTTATATCAAGTATACTATAATAATTACATTTTTTGGTCCAAGTAGAATACAGGTTGTTTTTGACTTTGTTCTACTGCTGGGACATTTGCTGCTATTTTGGGAATAGTCGGAGCTGATTTTTTTGTTGAATTAATGGGTTCTTTCCAGGGATTTTTTGTATTTTTTTGCTGCTCTATTCTGGAACTTATATTTTACAGGAGAGAGAGAGAGAGTCAATTTGTGTTTTAAGACAATTCTAATTGCCTTCACTATTAGATTGTTGTTGGATGATTGAGATCCCTGTTGCTTTTTTTTTGGAGTGCTAAAATGGCATGCTTTTTGGCCTTTCTGGCTGCTGTTTGTTTAATGAGAAATCCGTAAACATGTTGGGAAAACAACTATTTGTTCCTGCACTTCTTCCCAATTTACTTTTATTTTTTTTTCAACACTCAATTGAGAATTTGTATCTATGGAGATCATATGATATGCTTGTTTTAATTCCTCTGGTTTTGGGCATTTCTTGTGGATATAGGTGTTGGGTGAATGGCAATGTTAAGTTGGATAAACTTCCATTCTCACAAGATTTTCTGTGCATTATTGTAACGGGAAGGCTTTTAAGCTCACTATTATGGTGTGACCTATTATAGGCTATAGGAAGGCTTTTAAACATAGCAACTTCGTATTAGTGTTATTTTTCAGTTTTATTATAGGAATTTTTTTAGTTCAATCACAAAATTAGCACAATTAAAAAATTTAAAAAAAAGGGCTATTGCGGCGTTTCTAAATATGTCTCTAAATATCACACTAACGGTTGGATTTTTTTTGAAAAAGGAGATATGACGGCGTTTTAAAACGTCGCTAAATAGGATGGTGACGTCATGTTATCCTTAGTAGAACTTTTAGCAGCATTTTTAGAAAACGCCGCCTATAGTTATATAGCGACATTTCTAAATCACCATAAAGTTATAACGACGGCTGCATTTTCGGCGTTTGGTGCTAAACGTCACAAAAGGATTAGACGGCGTTTTTGGGACCTATAGCGGCGTTTTTTAAACACCTCGAAAGCCCTTTTTTCCAGCAGTGTGAACTGGAGCAGGAGTCTGAATATCATCAATGGAATTACAAGAGGAATGCTATATCTTCATGAGGATTCTCGGCTTAGAATCATTCATAGGGACTTGAAACCAAGCAATGTGTTACTGGACAGTGAAATGAATCCAAAGATATCAGACTTTGGAATGGCAAGGATCTTCGGAGGAAGTGATGATGCAACTAACACTGCCAGGATTGTTGGGACATAGTGAGTTTAGTGTTTCTTTTTCAATCACTTTTTCACCTCATCAATCATTTGGGTTTATATTCTTATAACATTTTTTTGTTCCTATTTCAAACTTCTTTCTAATCCTTTCTCTTTTCGGATAGTGGTTACATGGCTCCAGAGTTTGCTATGGAAGGACTATATTCTGTTAAGTCTAATGTTTTTAGCTTTGGTGTCCTTTTCATTGAGATCATAACTGGGAGGAGGAATGCTACTTTTCATCTCACTAACTGCGCCCCTAGCCTTATAGCATATGTAAGTTTATTTGACTTGAGTTGGACTACTCAAAATTGATAGTCTTGTTAAATTTTTTTTTTGCTTGAATAAGTGTATTTGGCTTGGTGATGCTATAGGTATGGCAATTATAGAATGAAGGGAAAGGGTTGGAAATGACCGATCCATTATTGATGGAGTCTTGTTATCTTGATGAGTTCTTAAGATGTATGCATATTGGTTTATTGTGCGTCCAAGAAGATGCATATGACAGGCCTATTATGTCATCAGTTGTGGTTATGCTGAAAGGTGAAGCTGTAACTCTTAGTCAACCTGAACGACCTGCCTTCTCTGTTGGGAGATTCAAAGATCACTATGAAACAAATGACAAAGATTATTTTGTTAATGAATTAACAATTTATGTTGTTATGCCCCGTTGATTGATGCAGCTGAGTGGATTAATGGTTTCAAAGTGTTGTAGTCACTACAGGAAAAAGGGGATATGGTGGCGTTTTTTTAACGACGTTTTTTTAAGCATCACTGTTATTAGTATTTAACGGCGTTTTATAAATGCCGCATATTCTATTAGACAAAACGGCACCATTTTATAATGGGAAAACGCCTCCAAATGCGGTAGCCACACGCGCCTCCTTTTGAGAAACCTTATTTTGAATCAGAACCCTCTCTAAGCATTTCGATCGAAGATTTAGAACTCTCTCTCTCAACCCTTATATGCACACATCTCTCTCTCCCTCTCAACCCTCTCTAAGCTCCATCGAAGATTCAGATCGAAACTCCATCGAAGCGATTTTGAAGCTCCATCGAAAATTCATACCTAAGCTCCATCGAAGATTCAGATCGAAGCCCCATGGAAGCGATTTCGAAGCTGCACCGGCGAGGTAGCGAGCTCCACCATCTCATTTGCAAAGATTCAGAGATTCAGTGATTTCCAGAAGCTCAGATCTGAACTCTGACCCCTCGATTACTCGCATTTCAAGCTCTGATGGCGGTGAATAGTCTACTTTGTTTCTGAACTTTAATCATTACTCTCTCTCTCTCTCTCTCTCTCTCTCTCTCCTCGATTTGTTCATGTAGACAAATTGTCCTTTCGTTTGACTGCATTTGTACATGCTATTAGTTGGCTGTAGTTTCTCTCTAGCTCGAAACTACTATTTGATTTGGATGTCCCATGGAGTTGAATATGTACATTTTGAGTTTCTAGCGCTTCTTGAGCTTGTTGAGCTGCGTGGTCTCCTCTCTCTCTCTCTCTCCTCTCTCTCTGTGCTGTTTTGAGAGGGAGAGAGAAAGAGAGAAAATGGTGGCACCTGAAGCTCCTATTTGCTACGTCGGAATCATGAGAAAGTCTGCCGCTTTCCATCTCATGAAACAAATGGTTAGTTCTCTCTCTCTCTCTCTCTCTATATATATATATATAGCTAGTATAAGATTATCAAAAAAAAATAAAAAATAAATTTGAAATTTCAGAACACAGTTGCTTCAGCTCAGGTTTGAATCTGTATGTATCTGTAATGTGTGTGTTCGATGAATTTTGATGGTATGGAGATGGAATTATGTTGTAGGGGTGGGACGAAGGCGAAGGGCTTGGGAAAGAGAAGCAAGGGATCAAAGGATATGTCAGGGTTAAGGACAAACAAGACACTGCAGGTTCTTTTTTTGCTCTGATTTTTGTTTATTTATCAAATTCATCCTCTATTTTGTTGCCTAGAACAAAGAGTTCTTTTACTTTTATTTTCTTAATTGTGTTATGAATCAAAGGATCTAATAAGGTTAAACTTGTTGTGGGATGAGTTTTTCATTTATTAGAAGAATAAGAACAGTTCAAGACATATAGAGCAGTTTGACAGTTTAAAAATTACAATAGGTCTTGGTGTAGATGAACCCAAAAATAATTGGGCATTTGATACATCACAATTTGACAACATCCTAAAGAGATTGAAAGTGGTAATTCTCACATTTATCTTCGAATTAGATTTAATAAGCTTTAAAAGAAATTGTTCTTATTTTTTTTTGTCTGCAAATCTTTCTTTTTATTTTTGCAGCAAGCAGCAGAAATCAAGGATGAAGGTACATCAAGATGAAAATGAATTTAGATTGCACTTAATAATATCATGATAGTTTGATGTGGATCCTCTTTGTATGCATCTTGCAGCTGTTGAAAAGGATGATGTTCAAGATGTTGATACTGATGCCACCACAGAGACTAATACAGTTGTCAAGTCTACTCGGCCCCAAGGAAGGTCAATATGGTTGCCCACATCAATGCTAGATCATTTTATTTTTTTTTTGAAATTTATTTACTTGTTTATTTTTGTTTCCTTCTTTAATAATCACCAGGTATAAGAAAAGAGAGAGAGAGAAACTTGTCCATGCATATTCTTCCGAGGACCTTGGAGGAATACTTGTGAGTTACTAACCTTTGTAATTTAGGCCCTTCTGTTTTCATTTTATAGAGTTGATTGAAAAAATTTCGGAGCTCTTTTCTTCACTCTCATGAATGTATAGTTTAACGGGTTGACAGAAGTTGCATTGACTGTTTTGAGGCTTCCTATATTCTATAAACAGAGGGATTTCTTATTCTATCCTCCATGGGCTTTTGGGTTGCCAATTTGGGTCCTCAGTATACCCCTCTCCTTAGTGGAATCAGCAATATGGACCAGTCTTACATATTACACAATTGGGTTTGCTCCAGACACCAGCAGGTAGTAGTGGTCAGCGTGTTCTTGGTTTCTCGTGATAGTTTTTCATGTTTATACTTTTGCTTACCATCTTAAATTCTTCATTCGAAATTTGTTCTTCCTACTCTGCATTTAGTGGTCACTTGAACCTGATAATTTATTCACTGACAAATACCCACCATCTGATTCAGGTTTTTATTGGCATTGTTCAGTATACTTCAAATGTCTCTCTCTCTCTTTCGCTTTGTTGCTGCAGTGGGAAGAAAGTTGGTTGTTGTATCCACTTTAGGAACCTGCACATTGATAATGAATATTTTGCTTGGAGGATTTATAGTTGCCCAAAGTAAGCTGCTTGATTTCTATTTTCACTTTGAGCCTATCTTGAATTAGAATGAGCTTTTAATTTACCAATCTTTATACCACATTGTTGAACATTGCTTGACATTTAGCCAAGTAAGTTGTGGATTCTTTCATGTGATTGTTTATATATTCGATGATCAAAGCTCTACATCTACAACCATTCATTTCCTTTTGTGCCCGCAGATGACATTGAGCCATTTATGATATGGGCTATTATATTTCTCCAGTGATGTATGGACAAAATGATTTAGTCATTAATGAATTTCTTGACAAAAGATGGAGCGCCGTAAGTTCTCATTTACTGTTTGCGTAGTATCTTTACATTCTCAAAATTCTGAACATTTTTCTTATTGAAGCCCAATCTAGACCCCCGAATACATGCACCTACAGTTGGGAAAGTCCTTCTCAAGTCTAGAGGCTTCTTCACAGATGACTACATGTTTTGGGTTTGTGTTGGAGCACCCTTGGGCTTTTCTCTTCTCTTCAACATTTCATTTATTGCAGCATTGACTTTTTTGAACCGTAAGCTATCTCATCTAGTCATTTGGTTCAGATATTTTTATTTGAAAATGGATTTCCTTCGTTGGAAGTAGATTTCCAGGCTTAATAACCCTGTTTCTGGATGTTCTACATCAGCTCTTAGTGATTCAAAATCTATAGTCTTGGATGAAGATGTTGGAAAGAAGAATAAGAAATCATCTGGACGAATGACCTCTGAAGGTTTGAGCCTTTACCTTGGTCTCTTTTGATCTTTACTTAATGATCTCGCCTTCTATTTCTCTTGCTGCCAGTTAAGTTAAAACACGTAGGTACTAGGTACTCCTTTATCACCTTTCTTTTCCATTTTAAAGTTCATGGCAAGTTGAATTGCATTGTGTGTGTGATGATGTCAATGAAGTGGGGAAACTAGATATCCTAAGAGGAATTAAGAAAACAGCAATAGGAATAGGTTTTTCAAAAGGATATCTTGTTTTAAATCAGATCTAAGCAGCGCAAAAACAAAACCAATTTTTGAATACAGAAATAAAGATAAATTTTTAGGTATTGACTTAAATTTAAAAGGATATCTTGTTCTTATTATGTGGGTGTTTGGGAAATTACTCTTTAACCTTTCTTTTTGCAAATGATTTTGCAAACTTAGTATTGCTGCTAGATTTCTTGTGCTAGTAATACATGTAAGAAGTTATAATTTTTTTGGTGCAGCTCTCTGTGCCTTTTTTGGCATGCACTTACTTTATATTGCATAGAGATCAGACTCAAAAGCATCTTAGAAAAAAGAAATAGAGGAAGGATGTTTTTCTTACTCAATATAGTATATATTGATGAGAATCTAATTGAATTCAGTTTCTCTTACTTTTTTGGAGCTATATTCTTTTGTCTGTAATGCTTCTAAATATGAGGATACATTCACCATTACGTCAATTTCTATGTATCAAAATATGTTATGGCTTATTTGGATGATAAACATTAATTGGAGAACTCAGTAGTGATTAGCAGCCTGTCTATTGGTTAATTTGGGTATTGACTTAAATTTGAATTTTTTTCTTTTTTTCTCTATCACTCATCTATCTTTGTAACTTAGTTTCTGTTGTATGTTTGCCTGTCAAATATGTGATATCAATTGCAACAAATTCTCCATTTTTCATTACATCGTTTGGGTTTCAATTTTGACATTGATTTGATTTATTTTTCTGGTGTAGTGGGTCCCTAAATTACCTAACTTTGTGGCTATTGCTAGTGGTAATGTCTCTAATCTAAAGCCTTTGCATAAGCATTACAAGAGAAGGTTTATTTTGATATATTTTTTTATGCAGGTTGATGTTAACCAGGTTAAAAAGCCCACAATGGTGCTTCAGTGGATGGGAATGAATGCTCTCATTATTTATGCTTTGGGTGCTTGTGACCTCTTTCCAGCAGCTTTGCAAGGTTTCTATTGGTGCTCACCAGAAAACAATCTTTTAATCATATTTTGGAGCTAAGGTAGACAATATACCAATTTCTCTAAATAAATTACTGGTGTAGATAGTAATTTTGTTGGTTGGAAAATTACAATTTTAAATTTCCTTATTTCCGCTAATGAATCCCCCTTTGTGCAAATTAACTTGTGCAGGAAAGTCTTAAATACATGTTTCAAGATAAAGGCCTTGTAGCTGTGAGTTGTGAAGTCTTTAACTCAGTGTATTATGTTACATGGACACTTCTAAACATATGGCTAGAGTAAGGATATGGGTTGTGTGTCCGACATGTCCAGTCAAATCTGGGCCCAACAAGCATGTTTCGTTATGCAAATTTACTGTGTAATTAATTGATAGACCTCCCTTATTATGTTTCTTTGTGACATGATTGCTTTATAGCAAGTGAAGTGCCATCTTGAAGAAAAGTCACCATTCCACCTTAGGAAATAAAACACGAATACTAAGAAATTGTTTTTTATTTTTTCATTTTCTGTTGCTTTTACACTGTCTTACATAAAGTCAGTATTCTACTTTGAGAAATAAGAGAAACATGCCAAGAAATTTGGGAGTTTAGATGTATAATATCCACACTTGATAGAGGGACTTGAGTCTATGTACCATGACTAGTGTATATAACATCACTTCAGATTTGGTGATATTTTAATTAATTTTACTGTGTGCTTCTTGGCTTATCAGGTATGGTCTGCTCCAAATTATTGTTATCGCTGTGGTAATGTAGCTTCAATATTGAGCTTCAATGAGAATATGGTACTGCCACTAAACTTTTCACTCTTTTAACTTGGTTGTGGCTTTTTGGCTCATTTATATAGATTTGATTAATTGAATTTTCTATGGGTGCTGTGTTTTACCCCTTTGTCTATTAGGAGAGAGAGGTGAAGTTCTTCACTGAAACAGAGGAAAACAACCAGATGAGAGGCCCCAGAACTGGATTGCCTTATCTCTTATGAGTGAGGATTCGTTTGCTTCATTACCCTGTACTATTGTTTGAAGTTTGATGCACTGTTGTTTTCATTGTGGGGGGGAGAGAAAGAAGATATGGACAGATGTTTTCCTTAAGAGGATCCCTGAAAAAGATTACATAAATATTCTTGCAACATGGAATACATTCAAGCTTTTGTTCCTAACTTGCTCTGCTTTTAAATAGTTTGTTTGTGTTGTAAACGCCTACTTTTCCTTTTTCATTGCTTTTGTTTTAGTTTATTATACATTTTTTAAAAATCTTTTATCTAGTCTGTGAGTTTATTTGGAATCCGATAAGCTTACAGTTAGTAGCTGGCCAGTGCTAGATCAGATGATTTGGAAATTTGAGAGATTAAATCTATATTCCTCATTGAGTTAAGACATTTTATTTCGGATTGACTATTGAGTGAGTTCGTTCTCTCGTCTCTACTTGTGGCATCCATTCTAGGGGAACCTACATGGATCTCAAACGCCACACCAGAAGGCTAAATAGGTAAGTTTCTTCCAAGGGCTATCAGTCCACCAGCAGCAGCCCAGTAAAAATTTAAGTTTGTGTTTGGATGTGCAGAATCATTTTATTGTTTGGTGGTTATTGTTTGGTGCTAAATAGGTAAGTTTCCTATTGTGCCTCCTCACAGTTACAAGGCCTTTATCTTGAAACATGTATTTAAGACCTTCCTGCACAAGTTGATGGCTCCTTGTTTGTGTAAACTCATCAAGATTGGCTGGGCAGGGCTATTAATTAGGCTAAATTCAGTGCAACAACAGGGCTAGGTGTTATTTACAGAGGCCACCTGCAACAGGGCAGATCGCTGATGGCCCTTTACTTGCCACAGAGTGGGGCTGGTGGTGGTGGCAGTCCATACTCTGAAGGCGGTGCTCTCTATGCCCTAAGCTTGATTCATGCAAACCATGGGGAGGGTATCAAACAATTTCTTCATGATAGCCTATGCAGTACCAACGTAGAGGTGCTTGCTCTCTATAATCTATTGTTCAGTTACTTTTGTGCACCATGAATTTCTGTTATAATAGTGGTGCTGGAAACTTTGATTGGTGCAGGTTATTCAAGCCTGACTTTGTAAATAAATCCTCACGAATTTCTAATACATTGTGTCTAGATATATTCTTTAATTGTACATGTATCACATCTTATTGCATTGTTTTTTATTTTTAATTTTTTTTTCAAACTTAGTTTATTTATTATTTTAATAAACATCAATTATTAGTTCTTAATAATTGTTTATGACTGGTATTTTTTTCAACCATATAAAATTAGCACAATTTTGAAAATAAAAAAAATAAAAATAAAGGCTATGGCGGCATTTTTTGAACGTCACTATATCCCTACCCCAACGGTTAGATTTTTAAAATGTATAAATGTCTTTAACGGCGTTTCCAAAACGTCGCTAAATGTCATAGTGACGTCACAGTACAATTAGGGTAGGACATTTGGCGGCGTTTTTACAACGCCGCCTATACTAATATAACGACGTTTTTCAAACGTCATAAAGCTATAGCGACGGCCGCGTCATCGGCGTTTGGTACTAAACGTCACAAAAAGAATTAGTGACGTTTTCAGTACCTATAGCTGCGTTTTTAAAACGCCGCTAAAAGTCAATTTTTCAGCAGCGAGTGTAATTATCATTATGAGATGTTAGAGAAAACTTTGATAAACATAATAAAAATTACCCCAATGGGAGTTGTCATTGTCACTGTCTATTTGTTGTCTTTCTCATGGTGAGTTATGTATTATGAGAGGGAGGAAAGAGCAATTTTGAAAACCTTTTCCAGTTCTTATCTTGAATTTCATAGTAAATTTCTCAGTCTTTTTTTAAAAAAATTTCTTATGAGCTTTGAATAGAATTTTGGGTTGTGTGTTTGGTTATGAGTTGTAAGTTTTTGTATCTAATATCATATGTTACATCAGTCAATTCAAATACAATTTAAAACTATTTTCAAAACTCATAACCAAACAAATTTTTCACACTCAAATCATAATTCCAAAACTCACAAATTCAAAATACAACTTTATTCTCAAATCATAATTCTAAAACTCTACCAAACACTACCCAAGATTTTGGATTTTTTTTTTTGATTGATTTTTTGGATAACTAAACAGAGTCCAAATTTTTCTAAAAAAATTGAATTCAAAGAACCAAACAGGTTCCTTTTCTTTTTTTCAGTAGTTGGCGGCTATAACTTAATGGAGAGAAATTCTTACAATTGAAAAGATTTAAACACTTGACCTCTTAGTCAAATGAAAGAAAATCTTAGATGTTTCTCAACAACTCTCCTAGTATTTAAAATACACTCCGAACTTTCTTCACACTAATGAACCAATTCTCAGTATTTTTTTATATATATTTTTTTTATTTTTTTTTTTGGGTCAACTACCTGATGGTAAAGAAGTTGATGTGAAGAGGCTCTTTAGTGTATCTGAGCAAGGTTTAGATGAATTCACCAATGAAGTTTTATTAATATTGAAACTTCAACACAAAAATCTTGTCAGGCTTCTAGGCTTTTGCATAGATGGAGATGAAAAGTTGCTCATCTACGAATACATGCCCAATGGCGGCCTCGATGTCTTCCTTGTTGGTTTGTGTTCTTTTTCTTTTATGAAGTTTTCAACTTCAATATTTTATTTTTCTATACAGATTTGACATATGAATATGGATAGGTTTCATTGAACTTATTCTAAAGCTTTTTTTTCCCTAATCTATAAATTTATTTTTGGTTAGATCCTAGGATGCGTGCTCATATGAACTGGAGCTGGCGTCTGAATATCATCAATGGAATTGCAAGAGGAATGCTATATCTTTATGAGGATTCTCGGCTTAGAATCATTCATAGGGACTTGAAACCAAGCATTGTGTTATTGGATAGGGAAATGAATCCAAAGATCTTGGACTTTGGAATGGCAAGGATCTTTAGAGGAAGTGATGATGCTACCAACACTTCCAAGATTGTTGGAACATGGTAAGTTCTTTCGATCACTTTTTCACTTCATTAATCACATGAGTTATTATTGTCTTATAACATGTTTTGGTTCTTATTTCAAACTTCTTTCTAATTCCTTCTCTTTTCGGATAGTGGTTACATGGCTCCAGAGTTTGCTATGGAAGAACTATATTTCGTCAAATCTGATGTTTTCAATTTTGGTGTCCTTTTGATTGAGATCATAACTGGGAGGAGGAATGCTAGTTTCCATCTTACTATGTGTGCCCCTAGCCTTATAGCATATGTAAGCTTATTCGACTTGAGTTAGACTATACGTCTCAAAATTGATAGTCTTGTTGGAAGTTTTTTGGCTTCAATAAGTGTATTTGGCTCGGTGATGCTATAGGTATAGCAATTATGGAATGAAGGGAGAGGGATGGAATTGATCGATCCATTATTGATGGAGTCTTGTGATCTTGACGAGTTCTTAAGATATATGCATATTAGTCTAAGTTTTTGAAGAATATTGTGTATTCAATTGCATCAATTTACAAACAGTTTATCAGTTATATAGCCCTAAATCTATGACTGAAAAAGGAAATACTAAGTCCTATTTACACAATCATGCCTATATTCTCACACCCTCGCTCAAACGCAAGGAGTTTTAGCAGAAAACACTGACAGTTTGCTAAGAAGAAACTAAAACTAAGCGGTAGTGTGAGTCTTGGTGAAGAAGGCTGCAAGTTGCAGAGTCGAGGAGACGAAAAGAAGCGAGATAGAGCCAGACTGTAGATGTTGTCGGACAAAGTGACAATCAATCTCAATGTTTTTCATCTGTTCATGGAAGACAGTATTGTGGGCAATTTGAATAACACTACGGTTGTCACAATAGAGAGAGGTCGGAGAAGACTGAGGTATACATAACTCAGTCAAGAGACAACGAAGCCAAACAATCTCAGCATGAGCCAGAGCATGGTACTCAGTCTCGGCAGTGGAACGCGCAACAACAGTCTGTTTCTTTGCCTTCCAAGAGATTAAAGAATCACCAAGAAACATACAGAAGCCATAAGTGGACTTGCAATCAGTGACATCACCAGCTCAATCACAATCAGCATAAGCCACAAAGTTCAAAGACGAAGTAGAAGACAACAGTAAACCCTAAAATATAGTACCTCAGAGATAGTGAAGAATCTGAACCAAAGCAGCCCAATGGGTGGAGCGAGGAGCAGAGGCAAACTGGCTAACCATATGAACAACATAGGCAAGATCAGGATGAGTAACCGTCAGATAGACTAAGCAACCCACGAGCTCCCGATATAACATGGGATCATCCAGAGGGACACCATCAGTGGAGTTGAGCTTCACATTCAGCTCAATAGGTGTATTAGAAACCTTAGTATCAGTAAGACCGGCACGGTGAATAACCTCATTAGCATACTGTAGACGCGCCCCGACAAGAACTCCCCGACATTCGCGCACGCAAGGGGGCGCGAATCTCGTCTCGTTCTCTGAGCTACTACAGTTCGGACTCAAAGTCACGGTTCTTAATTTGATCTCACAAAGTGCGATGTGAGATTGATAAATCACCAAAGAGTCCAAATCCGGCAAATCGTTTTGGAAAACTAATTTTTATAAAGAAGTGCCAAACATGGACTACTTTTCCAGATACAGAGTCGCCACCTAAATATTTTATTTTGGGAGAATTTAGGAAACCCTGACTCATGCCTAAGGCCACATGTTCGTCATCACCAAAGTTGCCTCGGCTCAGGAACTTGGGTACGAGAGGGGAAGGTCATGCAATGAGCACCCCCGCTCGCCCGATCAAAGATCGACCACTACTAAGCATGATATTTTGTTTTTCAAAACACATGTGTTCTTATTCCGGTTATTAACCTAGAATTACTATGTGATGCGCACAGCATACAAGTATAGACTAGATCGCCTAAGTTGGAACAAAACATTGCATATTTGTTTGTGAAAAATAGTTTGAAGTTTGCTACTCGTAAGTAGACTAAATTCGGGATTCAATGATTTGTTCCAATTCAAGTAATCCAACCTTCACCCACAAGCATTCAGGCAGTTAAACAAATAAGCAGTTAGCCTCATGGCAAGCATTCTTTCATTGCAACATTAACACACATGCAATATGCTAAAGCATAAACACTCACAGTGTACTCCGAGCCAAAACAAAGAACTAGTTAGAAATCATGCATGATCCTAGTTCATGGTAAGATGGCTAATGCAACACATGCGAAAATGCAACTAAAATAGGCTCGGCTATTCTAGTATGGCATATGAAATGCAACTTGGAACATGTATTCAAATAAGAATTTAAATACAATGCAGTTTGTATGATGCGCCGAGCCCGGTGCATACAAAACAGATGAATGGATGCACGCATGCAAGCATAAGGTATGCTAAATGAAATATGCCCTAAAACTAACCATCGTAAGCAGTTAAGTAAAAGGGAGAAAGAAATGGGGGTTGGAAGACATGCATCACACACACGCACGCTTATTACAACATTGCGCCCTCTCGACGGAGGGACCGAATAAGAAGCTAACTAGCTAATGTAAGCTAATTAAACTAATTATTACAAAACAAACTAATTAACTAATCCTAGTTAACTAATTATTACAAAACAAATTGAAATAGCTAAACGCATTTACTATTAAAGTACAAAACAAAGCATAAGCTAGCTATCTACGCATGGCAGCTAAGGAAAGCAATAAAACAGGAGGTTCTCAGAGGGGGAAGACTGGATGCATGCTCGGTCGCCTCGTTCGGAAATCCATCGCGATGTCCCAATTTGCCTCTGTTTGCAATTGTCCTCAGAAACTTGCACCAAGCTCCAGAAAGCTTAAACTCCACCATGGGAACCTGTGGGAGGGTGGCCGACCACCTATAGGTGTTTGCAGCCACTTGCCGACCACTTTTTGTGTTGAAAGCTAGAAAAAGTGGTCAGCCTGCTAGTTTTTCTGGCTGGCCGAACAGTTGTTACTGCCAGACTGCAATTTGCTGCAACAGAGAGCAAGGAAGGGCATGGCAATGTATTTGCAAGATATGTGTGCACAACCACCCTCCCTATCATTTCATGAGCTCAAGGGAGTGTGGTTCTCGACTCTCGGGCCACCAATCGCGCATTTCAATGTATGATGGCCGAGAGGCGAAGTTGCACAATTGAATATAAAATGAATGCACAAGTAAACACATAATGCCTAAAACTCTATCATGTATGATCTAGAGCGTCGGCGACCGAGAATTGTGGCACGTTTCATCACTTCAAGTATGAAATGTCCCTCGTTTCTCGTGTTCAGATTAACACTTAATCCAAACAACAATGCAGCAACATGACATGGTATACACAATGCAAATGGTAAGAACACGGCATACTCAATGCAATGGACAACATGGCATACACAATGCAAATAACATGGCATACTCAATGCGATGAACTACATGGCATACACAATGCTCAATGGACTTAAACCAAAATGGATAGACCTCAGCCATGTCCAAAACAGAGGCCATGGTGATAAAATTAAGGCACATGAAGCATATACAAGCATGCACATGCAATGGCCCATCAAAAAGGCCTAAGAGCACAACTCTCAAGAGTGCTCAAAAAGGGACAAACATGGAAGTGTAACAACACCAAGTGCACTGAAATAAGGTAATAAATGATGCCAAACCATTCAAACAACACAAGCAAAGCATGCAATGGTCCTTAAAGCATTAAAGCTAACAAAGGGGACCACAAAGGGGGGGTGCAATACATGGCACAAATGCATGATCCAAACATGGACAGAGCTAAAATAGGTCAAAACAAAGACCTAAACATGTTGAGGTAGGAGCTCAAAGACCTAGGCATGCAAGCATACAAGCTAAGCCAAAAGCAAGGCAACAATGCACAACAGTTAAAGGCATTCGAAGCATGAAAGAAGTGGAAACATGACAATGCTATAAGCTCTGAAATGAAGTATTAAATGATGCCAAATCATCTAAATAGCTCAAAGATAGCATGCACGAGTCAACAAAACACAAAGCTAGCAAGGCCAATTGCACTACAGCTATACAAAGCATGAAGGATATGGAAAAGGCAACCAAAAATAGTCCTAGAACATGTCAAAATGACACTAAAACATGCATGGAAGGAAGCCAAAACAAGCTAGCGTTAAGGGCATAAGGCATGATGCATACAAGGCAAATAAGGTGGATTACACTACACCTATTAAGACCAAGCATGGGATGACTTAAGCAACAAAAATCAGAGTTATATCATGGAATAATAACTCCAAAAACACATTGAAATGATAGCTTGCAAGCTTAGGCATGAAGGCATACGCAATGGCTCATGTTAAGGTATAAAGGGGCAAACCCTCCAATGCATTGAATGAGTGATAAATGCAAGTGCAAGAGCATGAAAAATGGACTGAAATCACATATGAAATTATGCCAAATCATTCAAATAGACCAAGCAATGCATGCTAGTGGACTTGGTGCACAAATCTAACAAGCTAGATTGAACCATGGCTATAAAAAGCAAGTCTTGCATGGCCAAAACAACACAAATCAGAGCTAAAGCATGTTAAAACATGGATAAAAGCTTCTTGAACTTAAGCCAAAAGCATGCTAGAATGACATGTTAAAGCATGATGCATGTTAGGCTAATTTATGGAAATGCACTACAAGTGCATGGAGCATGCAAGAGATGACCAAACAAAACCCTAACAGAGGTATGATATTGTAAAACAACACCAAAAACATGCTGAAATCGACTCAACATAAGCTAGAAAGACATGTTACTTCATGAAGCATACAAGACTAGTTTATGAAATTTACACTACAAGGGTATAAGGCATGCAAGGGCCAACTCAAACAACCCAAAATAGATCTAAGGTATGTTAAAAAAACACCAAAAATCTACTGAGATGGCTCCAAAACAAGCTAGAAAGACATGCTCAAACATGAGGCACACAAAGCTAGTTTGTAAGATTTACACTACAGGTGTATAAGGCATGCATGGAATGACCAAACCAAGTCAAAACAGATCTGAGGCATGCTGAAAGAGCCCCAAATACATGCTAACAACAAGCTAACACAAGCTTAGTAAACATGCTCAAACATGAGGCATTCAAGATAAGTATTGAAAATACAAGGAGAGGGGATGACCCTCTCCTATTAGGGACCTCAAAATCACCTTTCCACCACTGAAAATCCTCTGGATTTCAGTGGTAGAAAGGTCATGCAAAGGCTACAACAAGAGCTTAGAGGGATGGCTCAAAACCAGGCCTAACAAGGCCTAAGAGGGGGTAGACAACCCCCAAC